TCGATATTCCACGTTTTAGATTTCGATTTTTTCAGTTTTTCGATTTTTCGATTTTTTCCGATATTTTACTTCTTCGATTTTACAACTTTTCGAATAAAAAAAGGAAAAACTGCAAAATTATGAAACTGAAAAATTATAAAATGAATATACAAAAAAGTACAAAACGAAAACTTCGGAAAGACTAAAAATTCGTTTTTTCAATTTTTCGTTTGCATGTTTTTCAGTTTTCATTTTAAATATGTAATAATTATAATTTTTAGAATTTCTCACTTTTTTAATTTTACGATCTTAGAATTTTTATATTTTTCAATGACAGGATTTTAAAACTTTTTCGTTTATTTTATTTTTTCCGATATTTTAGTTTGTCGATTTTCCAACTTTTGGAATAAAACAATTAACAAATTGCAAAATTGAAAAATCAAAAATGGAAAACGAAAAAGTACAAAATGAAAACATTGAAAAATCCAAAAATTCGTTTTTTCAAGTTTATTTTTTTCAATTTTTCTAGTTTTCATTTTAAATGTGTAATAATTATAATTTTTAAAATGTGTCACTTTTTTAATTTTACAATTTTACAATTTTTTTATTGTCAATTTCAAGAGTTTTCAACTTCTGATTTTTTAGTTTTCCATTTCCTTAATTTTTCGATTTGCAATTTTTCGTTTCGATTTTTTATTTTCTTTATTTCTTCAATTTTTCGGTTTTTCCATGTTCGAATTTTCGAATTTCTCCAAATTAATAGATTTTGAAACTCATCATTTATTCGATTTTTCGATATTCCACGTTTTAGATTTCGATTTTTTCAGTTTTTCGATTTTTCGATTTTTTCCGATATTTTACTTCTTCGATTTTACAACATTTCGAATAAAAAAAGGAAAAACTGCAAAATTATGAAAATGAAAAATTAAAAAATGAATATACAAAAAAGTACAAAACGAAAACTTCGGAAAGAATAAAAATTCGTTTTTCCAATTTTTAAAATTTGTCACTTTTTTAATTTTACGATTTTAGAATTTTTACATTTTTCAATGACAGGATTTTAAAACTTTTTCGGTTATTTTATTTTTTCCGATATTTTAGTTTGTCGATTTTCCAAACTTTTGGAACAAAACAATTAACAAATTGCAAAACTGAAAAATCAAAAATGAAAAACGAAAAAGTACAAAATGGAAACATTGAAAAATCCAAAAATTCGTTTTTTCAAGTTTATTTTTTTCAATTTTTCTAGTTTTCATTTTAAATGTGTAATAATTAAGATTTTTAAAATTTGTCTTTTTTTTATTTTACGATTTTACAGTTTCACGAGTTTTCAATTTTGAATTTTTCAGTTTTTCATTTCCTCAATTTGTCGATTTGCAGTTTTGCACGTTTTAGGTTTCGATTCTTTCTGCTTTTGAATTTTTCAACTTTCCAGCTTTTCGAATAAAAAAAAAATTGCAAAATTGTAAAACCGAAAAGTTAAAAATGAAAAAATGTAAACGAAAACTTTGAGAAATCTGAAACAATTTTTTTTTCGATTTTTCAATTTTTCGATCTTTCAATGCTACAATTTTTCGACTTTATAATTTTGATCATTCTACAATTTTTCTATTTTATAATTTTTTGGTTTTGCAATTTTTCGATCCCTTACATTTTTTCAACTTTTGACTAAAAAAAAATGGAACAATTGTAAAATTGAAAAATCAAAAATCAAAAAAGCAAAAAGTATAAAATGAAAAATTTAAAAAAGCTAAAAACTGGAAATCAAGATCTTGAAAAATTGAAGAAACGAAAAATTGAAAAATCGAAAGATTAAAAACTGAGAAACTTACAAATCGAAAAAGTGCAACATCGAAAAAATGAAATATCTATTGTAAAATTGAAGTATCGAAAATAAAGAAATCGGAATGTCGGATAATTAGAAATCAAAAAATCCCGAAATTGAAAAATGAAAAATTTGGAACATCGAGGAATTGAAAAATCAAATATTGAGACAATGAAAATTAAAAATCGGAAAAATTAAACATAAATAATACAAAAAAAAAATATAAGAAAAATCAAGAACTTGAAAAATTAACGAAACGAAAAATCGAAAATTTCTGTTACCAAAAAATTGGTCGAAGTTAAATAAATACAGATTTTTCGAAAAATTATAAAATTTCACTTAGCGAATTTTTTTATAACCCTTGATATGAATGTAAACACGCTTGAAAGTAAACGTAAAGAAGCGTGCTAGGCGTTGGTTTCAAGTGAGTTTTTCGATTAGTACTATGTTCTCAAATTATAGAGTCATACTATTTTGCGCAGAGGATTTATCAGGCAAAATTTTGAGATGGCGTCATCCATTTTTTACTTCCCGAGCGTAAGCAAAGGAAGTATTGTAATCGAGTCCGTCGGCCGACTCTCTACTTTTACGTTTTCTCGATCTTTCATGACCCCTAGAAGACGAAGAAATAGGTCTCCCATTTCCGTCTGTCTGTCCGTCTGTCCGTCTGTCCGTCTGTCCGTCCGTCTGTCCGTCTGTCCGTCTGTCCGTCTGTTGTCACGGATTTTTATTAGACAGATAATCTCCGAAAGTACTCGACCGATTGTTGTGAAATTTTGTACTTATATTAAGAATATCATGTAGATGGTAAAACGCTAACCAAAATTTGTCGAATCATCCCCACCACTAAAGCGATGGCGTCACTTCAAAATTGTACATAGTAAATGGGTTTTCAATTGTATAAAATAACATAGTCCTACACATGTAGTTTACACCTCTGAATCGACTTTTCACCCGAAACGTCCAGATTTTTGGAAAAAAAATCAAAATTATAAAACAACATTTTGAAATTTAATTTTTAATCTGCTAACCAGAATGCTTTGAAATGTTGCAGATGTTTTAAGGCTATAAAGAGCATCATAAATCTTTAGTCAAAAAATATTTGCTTATCCCCTCCAAAAACTTGATGACGTCAGCTCAAAAGTTTGTGGAATAAATCATATCTAAAATGTACAAAATATGGTGAGTCTGTACTTGTGAATTATCACTCCATTAATATTTTTTGGATTTGCATATACAGGGTGACTCAAAAAAATTAATGAATGCGTAAATATATTTTATTGATTTAATCAGGAACTACAAAACCGAATGCTCTGAAATCTTGCAGATGTTTTAAGGTCATAAAGAGCATAATAAATGTTTAGTCAAAATATATTTGCTTATCCCCTCCAAAAACTTGATGACGTCAGCTCGAAAGTTTGCCGAATAAATCATATCTAAAATGTACAAAATATGATGAGCCTGTACTTGTCATTTATCACTCCATTCATATTTTTTGGATTTGCATATACAGAGTGACTCAAAAAAATTAATGAATGCGTAAATTTATTTTATTGATTTAATCAGGAACTACAAAACCGAATGCTTTGAAATCTTGCAGATGTTTTAAGGTTATAAAGAGCATAATAAATTTTTAGTCAAAATATATTTGGTTATCTTCTACAAAAAACTGATGACGTCAGCTCAAAAGTTTTCCGAATAAATCGTATCTAAAATGTACAAAATATGATGAGTCTGTACTTGTGATTTATCATTCCATTCATATTTTTGGATTTGCATATGCAGGGTGACTCAAAAAAATTAATGAAGGCGTGAATTTATTTTATCGATTTAATCAGGAATTACAAAACCGAATGCTTTGAAATCTTGGGAATATTTTAAAGTTATTATAAGCATGGTAAACTTTTGTTCAAAATGTATTTGTTCATCCCTCCTAAAAAAATTGATGACGTCACCCTTAAATTTTGCTGAATAAATCCTATCTAAAATGCAAAAAATATGATGAGTTTGTACTTGTGATTTATCATTCCATTCATATTTTTTAGATTTTCTTAAGAGGTGGTTCAAAAAAAATAATGAAGTCAATTTATTTTATTGATTATAATTAAAGGCAACACTTATTATTAGTATTACACCCCAACCAACCCAATTTGGTAGACACAAAATTTGTTAAAGGAAAAACTCGGTTGAAACATAAGGGTAGCACGCTTATTTACATCGACTTTAACATTACAGACCTGCATTTGTTTTATGCGTTCACTTGATTCCGCGAATGTGAAATAGACATGTTTATAATCAACCAATTGTGAATTTCACCGTCAAGAATTAAAATAAAACCCAATGTTTTATATAATAAGCGGAAGTCGAAGCAATAAAACCGACGGTCGTTTTGTTTACAGTTTCTGTGTTTGGCTCTCACGTATGCTGTTACGCCTGGCATCTTAAATTAACAATGTTTATACATACACCATTTTCAGTTGCCTCTGATACGTAGGTATACGTGAGTAAATTGTTTCGTTATTTTATTGATTATTAAAAATCAATATTCAAACGACCCAATTCATTTTCCCGAAAATTTGAGAATATAATAATTTTATTCTTAGTATTACACTACATCTATCCCAACCGATATACGTGTCCTTGCAAAAATGTTGATGACGTCATCGCAATTTTTTTTTAAATTCCCACTACAAAAATATAATGAGAAAAAAAACACAATAGGCATGCAGTCGTCAAGTTTCCGACAGCGAGGGAAGTACTGTCTAAACTCTTTAGACCAATTTTTTTGGAAAGGGATAGACGATACGATTAGACGATTTACTGTAACTACGATGATTTTAAACCGTTTGTATGTTTTCAGAGCATTCGGAGATTATGTGTCTAATAAAAATTGATCCAGACGACAGACAGACAGACAGATAACCTTTTTTTTCGCATTCTAGCTTACGGAAGTAAAAACTTTCCTTATCAACATTATGGTTGTGCAAGCTGAGACTTAAATACATGCTTACTCATTGACTAAGTAAACTAAGAGATTTGTTATACTTCTATAAATTACTCAAATTAACAGTAAAACATAAAAAAAACCATAAACATGTCCTTCAACCTAATAATATTTTATATGTTTATATCATGTTCTGAACACACTCCACCTAACTATTTATAAACTCCAAACAAAAATCGTCATAAAAATGTAATCGTTAATGTTGTTGCATTTACACTATAAACGATAACAACGCGCACACTCCACTTAATGCGTTTATTGCAAGAACATTTAATTCCCAAGAACACCAAACACCGGCTGCAGTCCACAAGCAACCATGAACCTAGTGATAATTTTATTAGCACTAGCAGCGTTCCAAAGTGTTCACTGTGCTAACATCTTAGGAATTTTCCCAACCCGTGGCCGCAGTCACTACATCGTCGCCAGCAGCCTCATGCGCGGACTCGCCGAAAAGGGCCACAACGTCACCGTAATCGCCTCCTTCGAAGAAAAAACCCCCCCAAAAAATGGAACCTACAAAAACATCCTCATTACGCACCCGTCGGACGTTAAAAGTGAGTCACAAAATTATCACTAGTGTAAATACAGATTTAACTACGCAGAATTCGATCTGTTCGCCCTGGAGCAGATGAATTTCGTCACCTTCACCATGACGATCAACTTCATGGGCAACTACTACACAGAGGCCGTTTTATCGCACCCAAAAGTCCAAGAGCTTCTAATGTCTGACCAAACATTCGACGTCGTCATTGTCGAGCAGTTCGTCGACGACGCCTTGAAAGTATTTGCCTATCACTACAAAGCTCCGTTAGTACTATTCATTGCGTGTGGTTCGCACTCCTGGATTAACCCTCTTGTGGGAAACCCAGGACCACCGTCTTACGTTCCCGAGCAAAATATCCACTTTCGACAAATTAGATTTTTAGATCGTCTTAGAAACACGATTGTGTATATTTTCGGCGAACTCAACCGAAACTTGCTATTTTTTCCGCAGCAGGAGAAAATCATGAAGAAGTACTTTTCAGAAGCGCCAGCCCTAAACGAGCTTGTTTATAATGCGTCTTTGGTACTTCTGAATTCCCACTGGAGCACGAATATGGCGGTACCCAGAGTCCCGAACATGGTTGATCTGGGAGGCATTCACGTAAAACCGCCACAGGTACTACCACAAGACTTAAAAGAGTACCTAGATGGTGCCAAAGAAGGTGTGATTTACTTCAACATGGGTTCGGTCTTGCAAAGCGTGAATTTCCCAGTCGAGAAACGCGAAGCTTTTATTAAAGTTTTCGCAAAATTGAAGCAAAAGGTGTTGTGGAAGTGGGAGGGTGATGTTTTACCCAACAAGCCAGCAAACGTGCGAGTCCAGAAATGGATGCCCCAGCAGGACGTTCTAGGACACCCTAACATTAAAGCGTTTGTTACACACGGAGGTCTACTAAGTTTAATCGAGAGTGTTTATCATGGTGTTCCAATATTGGCAGTACCGGTGTATGGGGATCAAGTTTGGAACTCTGTAGAGGCTTCAACGAATGGTTTGGGCAGCTACGTGTTGTATGGCGATCTTAATGAAGACAAGTTAGAAAAGACACTGAAAGACGTACTGCACAATCCACGGTACTGAATGAGGTTTGGTGTTGTAGTCTCTAATCGGTGGTACTTTTAGGTATCGACAGAATATGAAAATACGATCGAAAATAATGCGGGATCGTCGCCACAAACCGATTGACGACGCAGACTACTGGATACAGTACGTGATAAGATACAAGGGTGCAACTCATCTCAAAGTACCGGGTTTGCAGCTGCCTTGGTATCAGTACCTATTGCTAGATGTAGCTTTGTTTATGCTAATAGTCGTACTCTTAGCAAGTTATTTATGTTATTATGTAACGAAAATTGTATTAGTGAAACTGCATCTGAAGGTACGTCGTCGAAATAAAGATAAAAGAGCTTAAAAAGACTCGCTTCACGTGTGTATTTTTGGTTGCTTATACCACCACAAGTTTTTGGACCCTCCAACGAATTTACATAGATTAAAGTAGTACTACACACGCGGTTTACCGTGACCTACACATCCCGGGCGCGTGCTTGTCCGCATACATTAATTCAGAATGAAAATTGTAGTACCGCTTCTATGGACACTTATTCTAGTGCAAGGAACGCAATGTGCGAAAATTCTCGGGGTTTTTCCAGTACATACAAAAAGCCACTATTTTCTGGGTAGTAGCCTTATGCGAGGACTCGCCGAAAAAGGGCACGACGTGACTGTGCTAAACACCTTCGGGGAAAAAAATCCACCGAAGAATGGGTCCTACAGAGACATCATTCTTACGTCGGAAATGACTCAGTCGGATGGCGTAGGTAAACTGGACTAGTTTTTTCTATTTTACCTTGACTCATGCTAATTTAATTACTGTTTGGTTACAGATTACGACCTATTCCAAATCGTCAAGCAAAACTTCATCGTACATAGCTTGTACTTGAACTGGATGGGCAACTCTGTCACTGAAACCACCCTAAGCCACCCCAAAGTCCAGAAACTCGTTAATTCGGGGGAAAAATTTGACGTCGTCATCATAGAACAATTCATCAATGATGGTTTAAAAGTTCTAGCGCACCAGTTCCAGGCACCGTTGGTACTATTTTCAACTTTCGGCTCCAACGCCTGGATTAACTCCTTGGTGGGAAACCCGGCGCCACCGTCATACGTTCCAGAGCAACACATCGTATTCGACTCCTCCAATTTCTTGGATCGACTCAGAAATTCCATCATCCACACTTTCGGTTATATAAACCGGTACTTCTTGTTCTTCCCGGCGCAGAACAAAATCGTGAAGAAGTACTTCCCGGACGCGCCTGACTTGGACGTACTCTTGTACAACGCGTCTTTGGTACTCTTGAATTCCCATTTAAGTACGAACATGGCAGTACCTAGAGTACCGAACATGGTCGACATAGGCGGCTTTCACTTAAAACCGCCGAAAACACTACCGCAAGAGTTGCAGAAGTATCTGGATGAAGCCAAACACGGGGTTATTTATTTCAGTATGGGGTCAGGTCTGCAAAGTACTAATCTTCCAGTTGAGAAACGAAACGCTCTTGTGCGAGTTTTTTCCAAACTGAAGCAAAATGTTTTGTGGAAATGGGAAAGCGATGTTTTGCCGGGGCAGCCGAAGAATGTCGAAGTACGGAAGTGGCTGCCGCAGCAAGACATTTTAGGTACTTTCTCATGATGGAGTACCATGTTTGTAATTAATTGTTACAGCACATCCCAATATTAAGGCGTTTATTACCCATGGGGGTCTTTTGAGTCTGATCGAAAGTGTGTACCATGCCGTTCCAATCCTGGCTATTCCAGTATTCGGGGACCAAATCTGGAATGCTAAGGAGGCTGCAGCCAATGGTTTAGGACGGTGCATTCCCTATAGCCAACTCGACGAAAGTAAATTCGGGGAAGCACTTAACGACGTGTTAAATAATCAAAGGTGACTTCATAATTTGTGTAGGTGACACATTGTGACTATTTTTTTAGATATCGTGATAATATGAAGAGGAGATCAAAGGTTATGCACGATCGTAGACATACACCTTTAGATGATGCTGATTATTGGATACGATATGTCATTCGCCACCAGGGGGCTCCTCATCTGAGGGTAGCCGGATTAGACTTACCTTGGTATCAAAATCTAGCTTTAGACGTGGTACTCTTTATCGTGGCTGTGATTTTGTTAGTATTTTACTCGTTTTATGTTTTGATAAAAATTGTAAAAAAAATAGGAAACGCGCGAAGTAATAAAGTTAAGAAAAAATAATTACGTAACATGATAATATCTGATATGATATGTGTGACTTATAGCATTGTTTAAGTATATTATAGTTGGACAACCTATACGGACAATCACTGTCCCAATTAAATATATACGATTTAGACATCAAGAAATAAATTTAAAATTGCAAAAATTATATCTAGCAGACTTCAAACAGCCTTAAATGTGTCTTGTATGTAAGTGCTTATCAGTATTTCGGCATTTTAATGCACATCAATAATCGTTCTTGATGAGTAATGACTACTGTAACACAGTAAATCCTCGAAATCGAAAATTTAAAACACTGAAAAAATCAAAAAAATAAAAATTGGAAAATCTAAAATTTAAAAATCGAGAAATTGAACAATCGGTTAATTCAAAAATCGAAACATCGAAAAATTGGAAAATCGAAAAATAAAAAAAAAATTGGACAATCGAAAATTTAAAAATTCCGAAAATTGAAAAATTGAAATATAGAACTGAAAACTCAAAAAATCGAAAAAAGTTAACAATTTAAAAATTGAAAAGTTAAAATTGAGAAATCAAAAAACTGAAAAATCACAAAATTGAACGAAATATCAAAAAATTAGGAAATTAAAAAATTGAGAAACAGAAAAGTCAAAAAAGCAGAGTCTAAAAATCGCAAACTTAAAAAATCGAAAAATTGAAAAATCAAAAACCTGAATAATCGAAAAATTGAAAACTTGAGGAAGTGGAGAAATGGGAATATAAAAAAATAGATTAATTGAGAAATCCGAAAACTAAAAATTCAGAAACGTCAAAATTTGAAAAATAAAAAAATATTGAAGAACAGAAAAATCGAAAAATCTAAAATTTAAAACATTGAAAAGTTAAAATATCCTAAAACTGAAAAATGGAGAAATCCAAACATCAAAAAATCAAAAAAAAAAAAAATCTAAAATTTAATAATCGAAAAACCGAAAAATCGACGAATCGAGAAGTCGAGAATTTAAAAAACTGGACAATTGAAAAATCGGATAAATCAAAAATCGAAACATTGTAAAATTCAAAAATTGAGACATCGAGAAATCGAAAAATCGAGGAGTCGAAAAATCGAGAAGTCGAAAAATCCAAAAAATTGAGAAACCGAAATAGGCCAAAATCGAAAAATCGAAAACTTAAATATGGAAAAATTGATAAAGCGAGAGATTGAATAATCAAAACATCGAAACATCCGAATCTCAATAAATTGAGATCTCAAAGAATTTAAAAATTCGGAAATTTAAAAAATTAAAGTATAGAACTGGAAACTCGAGAAACCGAAAAATCTAGAAATTTAAAAATTAAAATATGGAAAAGTTGAAAAATTGAGAAATTGAAATAAAAAACAAAAAACCGAAAATCCAAAAATAAAAAATAGAAAAATCTAGAAGTCGAAAAATGAAAGTATTGAAGCATTGAAAAATATCAAAACTGAAAGAAATATCCAAAAATTGAGAAATCGACAAACCAATAAAGCGAAGTCGAAAAATCGAAGAATTGAAGAACTGAAAAATCGAAACTTTGAGAAGTGGGAAAATCAAAAATAGATTAATTGAGAAATCAGAAAACTGAAAATTTAACGCAAAAATTTGAAAAATTGAAAAATTTAAATACTGAAGAACTGAAAAGTCAAAAAATCGAGAAATCGAAAAAACTAAAATTTAAAACAATGAATAATTAAAATATCGCAAAATTGAAGAATCGAGAAATCCAATTCAATTTGAAAAATTGAAAAATTGAAAAATCGGGGCATTGAAAAATTGGAAAATCCAGAAATTGAAAAGCTCAAAAGAAAAAAATCGAAAAACCGAGAAATCCAAAAATCGAAACATCGAAAAATTCAAAAACTGAGACTTCGAGAAATCGAAAAATCGGAGGATCGAGAAATTGAGGAGTCGGAAGCCGAAAAGGAAAGTTAAAAATTGAAAAATTGAGAAACTGAACAATCAAAACAACGAAACATCTGAATTCGATAAATTGAGAAATTAAAAAAATTCAATAATCGAAAAATTTAAAAAAAGAAAAACTGGAAAATCAAAAATTAAAATTCAAAAAATCGAAAAATTGAAAAATTGAAATATAGAAGAACTGAAAACTCGAGATATCGAAAAACCTAGAATTTTAAAAAATGAAATATTAAAACATCGAAAAGTTTAAAAATTGAGAAATCGAAGCATTAAACAGTCGCAGAATTGAAAAATCTAAAGTTTACAATAATTTGAAAATCGAAAAAGGAAAAAAGCGAGAAATCAAAAAAAATCCATCAATTCAAAAATCGAAAAGTCGAAAAATTGAAATATTGAAAAATCTCATAACTGAAAGAAATATTCAAAAAATTGACATATTAAAAAATTGGAAAATTGAGAAATTGAAAATCTAAAAAAGCAAAATTGAAAAACTGTAATCTTTGAAAAATTAAAGAATTGAAGATGTGAAAAATCGAAACTTTAGGAAATCCAGAAATGGACAAATAAAAAAAATACTTTAGAAATCGGCAAACTGAAAATTTAGAAACGTGAAAATTTGAAAAATTGAAAAATCGAAATATTTAAAAACCGTAAAATTGAAGAGGACAAACATTGAGAAATCGTACCATTAAAACATCGAAAGATTGAGAAATCGAAAAATAAAAAATCGAGAAATAGAAAATTTAAAGAATGGAGGAATCGGAAAAGTCCAAAATTGAAATATTGAAAAATTGAGACACATAAAGTTGAAAAATCGAGAAATCGACAAGCCGAAAAATCCCAATAGCGTATTTAGGTATAAATCACAAGATCAGGACTATTCTACTTTTTAAAATTTAAATAACATTATAAATTGGAAAATGTTGATTTTTTTTCCAAAAATCTTGACGTCCAAGGTGAAAACTCGACACGGATGCATAAACCATAAACGGGGCGAAACTACAATTTTACTATTGTAAAATTTGGAGATTGCGTCATTTCATTGTTCGTGACAAATTTTGGAGGGTGTAATTTGATAATACAATTTGAAATGTAAATTTTGTCATTCGGGAACATTATGTATTAAATCGTTAAGATGTTCTAGAACTTTGTTCACTTATTCGTTGTAAAGTCCAATGGTCGAAATGGGTTAGTTCTTCGTAGTGGATGTGTATCAGATCAACTCTAACGAATACCGGTTTATAGATAAATCGCTTAAAGCCGATATTGGCCTGAGTGTGCTTTGGTCTGTAGATCAAACAAGTTCTCAGGCGACGAAAAATTGCATGTGGAGGGAGACTTCGGATTACAAATCGTGCCAAGAAAGACATATTTGGGAGAGATGGATTTTCAGGTGCTTGACTAGCGGTTATTTTAAATTGTTTGCTGTCGTTCGCGAAGTGAAGAACACAATTTCATTAAAATGATAATTATAAAATTATCATAATCACTATTGGTATTAATTAACACAAAATGGCGCGCAAGTTATCAGTTGATTTCGTTAATAAATTCATAGAAAGAAATTAAAAAGTAAAAAATACAATAACAAAAATTTTAAAATGCGGTTTACGAAAAATTAGTTGTCCTGTGCAAAGAAGAAAATTTTTGAAACGCTGACAAATATGACATCTTAAAAAAAATAACACTTGAAGAAGTGCTTTCGGCGTAATATTTTTGATGCTCGCGTGAACAAAATACTCTATGTCAGTGTGCAGTGCGCAAAGAGTTAACTGTGCAGATCTAGCCGAAAATCCGAAAACCAAATCGCTGTGTGTAGGGCCAGCATAACGGAAGTAATAAATCATCCCATCGGTTGAAGAACGTTGGGTCAGTGCAATGATGTCGGTGTTATATTCCGAGAGGGGCCCAATACACCCAATAAAATGGAACAGACAAAATAAAGCTTCAAACATGATTATTTTTATACTAAAATTCTGAAGTTTATAAACTGCACATTATATTTATTTATTTATTTATTTTATCTTGTTTTCGAACTATAATAAACATTTCAAACAATGTCTGTAACTTATTTTAATGTAAATTATATTCATGTGCTTAACAAAATCAGATGTAATATTAGTGTGATTTTGACCTTATTCTAGATTTTATTACAGCAGAACGGCGTATCCTTTTTAAATTTTAGAAGTTACGGAAACTAGTTCAAGAAACAATTAGTTATCTCGTATTTTTGGAACAAAATCTACCAAAATGTCCGATAACAGCAATTGTTTTTCATAGAAACAAACAGTCTTCAAAGCAGCCTTTAACAACTCGATATTACAAACATGCCTCTTAAGTTCTTTATGCGTTTTTTTCTCTCTTGTAATTATTTGTAATGTTAACACCGAAAGTTTATGTCATTCTGTTATTTACTTTGAACATATATTTTCATTTTGTGTTAATATTTTTGTAACACCACGAATCTAAATTTTACTTAAAATCTTGTTTCACTTTAATCTTGTAAAACTAAACAAAAAACTTGGAAAGTTTCTGTCAGTCTTCAGATATAGTCAAATAAAAATAGGCGTCAAATTCATTTAAATTCAATTCTTTCGGATCACGTTACAACGCGTTGCTTCATATTTTTTATGTCAAGTATATTTTCATATTTTGTACATATATGTTTATACACATTACTGTTTACGGAACAATGTTAATTATGGATTTATGGATAACTCCTCATATAAGAGCAGAGTGAAGGGTGTTTGCTTTTGCTAATGTTTGATGGCGCCATCTGATTTAGAGTATAATAACTCTGTAGAGGCTTCAACGGGTAGCTACGTGTTGTACGGTGATCTTAGTGAAGACAAGTTAGAAAAGGCACTGACGCACAATCCACGGAAATGCATGAGATTGTGGTCACTGAAGGTGGTACTTTTACGTATCGGTTGAACATGAAAGTATGGTCAAAAATAAGGATAAAAGAGCTTCAGGGGACTCGCTAGACAATTTAATAAAATAAACAACTACGATAATAAGTACTATAACCAAATATTTTCACGTGTATTGTTAGTTGCCTACACCACCTCAACCTGACCCACTGATGCATTATGTAACACCAATTATAATTGGTTTTAATAATTATTAAAACCTTGCAAAATTATGCGTCAACGAGTTCCAGAAGCGTCTGGAGCAACACTTGCGCAACATTTCGATATCTCCCTACCCCATTTAGATAGATTAGGTACTATTACAACACGCGCCTCACCGTGACCTACAGATCAATTTTAGACGTGCTCGCGCGCGTGCTTGCATTGCCAAACACCCGCACACATTAATCCAAATGAAAATTCTAGTCGCAGTTCTGTGTACACTAATTTTAGTGCAAGGAACAAAATGTGCGAAAATTCTCGGGGTTTTTCCAATCCACGCAAAAAGCCACTATTTTCTGGGTAGCAGCCTCATGCGGGGACTCGCCGAAAAAGGGCACGATGTGACTGTACTAAACACCTTCGGGGAAAAAAATCCACCCAAGAATGGGTCCTACAGAGACATCATTCTTACGTCGGAAATGACCCAGGATGGCGTAGGTAAGGTGGACTTTAAAATTGTTACCTTGAATGACGATAATGAATGACTATCAAATCTTGTAGCGTACGATTTATTCCAAATCGTGGACCAAAACTTCGTTATTTACAACCTGTTCATGAACTGGATGGGCAACACGGTCACTGAAATCACCCTAGGGCACCCCGAAGTCCAAAAACTCCTGAATTCCGGCGAAAAATTCGACGTCGTGATCATGGAACAATTCGTCAATGATGGTTTGAAAGTCCTGGCGCACCAATTCCAGGCACCGTTGGTACTATTCTCGACTTGCGGCTCCAACGCCTGGATTAACCCCTTGGTGGGGAACCCGGCGCCACCGTCGTACGTTCCCGAGCAAAACATCGTTTTCCATTCGTCCAATTTCTTCGATCGACTCAGGAATTCGATCATCTACACGTACGGCTATATAAACCGGCACTTGATGTTCTTTCCAGCGCAGAACAAAATCGTGAAGAAGTACTTCCCGGACGCGCCTGACTTGGACGTACTCTTGTACAACGCGTCTTTAGTACTATTGAACTCCCATTTAAGCACGAACATGGCGGTACCCAGAGTACCGAACATGGTCGACATAGGCGGCTTTCACTTAAAACCACCGAAAAAACTACCCCAAGACTTGCAGAAGTATCTGGATGAAGCCAAAAACGGGGTTATTTATTTCAGTATGGGATCAGGTCTGCAAAGTACTAATCTTCCAGTTGAGAAACGAGACGCCCTTTTGCGAGTTTTTTCCAAACTGAAGCAAAACGTTCTGTGGAAATGGGAGAGCGATGTTTTGCCGGGGCAACCAGCGAATGTTAAACTAGGGAAGTGGCTGCCGCAGCAAGACATTTTAGGTACTTTCTCATAATGAAGTTCCGAGTTTGTAACTAATTGTTTCAGCACATCCCAATATTAAGGCATTTATTACCCATGGGGGTCTTTTGAGTCTGATCGAAAGCGTATACTATGCCGTTCCAATCCTAGCTATTCCAGTATTCGGGGACCAAATCTGGAACGCTGAGGAGGCTGCAGCCAATGGTTTAGGACGATGCATTCCCTATAGCCAACTCGACGAAACTAAATTCGAAGAAGCACTTAACGACGTGTTAAACAATCAAAGGTGATTTCATAATTTGTATGAATAAGTGACACATTGTAACGATTTTTTTAGATATCGCGATAATATGAAGAGGAGATCCAAGGTTATGCACGATCGTAGACATACACCTTTAGACGACGCTGATTATTGGATACGATATGTCATTCGTCATCAAGGGGCTCCCCATTTGAAGGTAGCCGGATTAGAGCTACCTTGGTACCAATATCTAGCTTTAGACGTCGTACTCTTTATCGTGGCTGTGATTTTCGTGGTATTTTACTCGTTTTATGTTTTGATAAAAATTGTGAAAAAAATACGAAACGCACGAAGTCGTAGTAAAGTTAAGAGAAATTAATTGCGTAACACGATAATATCTGATATGATATCTGTGAGTGGTTGAGAGATTAGGAGACGTCTGTACGTAATTTATAGTGGTTGACACAGTTTCTACAAGCACTAGAGTCCAATAAAGACAAACTAAAAATGAACGTAGTTTTAATTACAATTGCATGGGTACTCGTTGTGGTGGCACCAATCCGAAGTGCCAAAATTCTAGGAGTGTTTCCGTTACACACCAAAAGTCACTATTTTCTGGGCAGTAGTCTCATGCGTGGACTCGCGGAAAAAGGGCACGACGTCACCGTAATTAACACACGCGGTGAAAAAGACCCCCCCAAAAATGGTACCTACAGAGACATCATAGTCACGTCAGAACTAACTAAATCGGATGGTCCCGGTAAGTGCATTATCTGAATTATCGTGATAATAAAGATAACGTCCCTGTTAAAAATGCCCAATCAAATCCAATCTAAATTATTTTGGGATCGCCCAATATAAATTAGATTGGGTACGCCCAATCAAATCCAATCTGCGAGTAGTCCGCACGCCAATCGCACAAAGAAGGTAAAAAAAGGCCACCACAATGGTCACGTGGTACGCAAGCAAACATATTATCACTATTATAGCGAACAATAAAACTTTTTTAAAAAACAACCCTTTTACGCGGGTTTAAGTGTTAATATTATCCGAGAGGAGTATATTTTTGGGAAAAAATTCTGTGTTCGACACGATAAGATTTATGACGATAAGCGTAATCAAAAAAATTGCATAAATATTTTCCTGCGTATTAGCAACCCCCATAAGGAGGTCGACGGAGAACGTAACCACCCACTTCGATGAGAAGTCGTAAAGAAACACATTACGCAAACATTTTGCATCCTACGGCAACGATACGTAGGTGCCTCAATATTACGTTTAAACGACGGTCACAGTGTCGCCCAATCTGGCCCAATCAAATACAATCCCAAATTGGGGGCGCCCAAGCAAATCCAATCCCAGATTGGGGGCGCCCAATCATATTCAATCTGCGAATAATTCGCACGCCAATCGCACAAAGAAGGTAAAAAAAGGCCACCACAATGGTCACGTGGTACGCAAGCAAACATATTATCACTATAATAGCGAACAATAAAACTTTTTTAAAAACAACTCTTTTACGCGGGTTTAAGTGTTAATATTATCCGACAGGAGTATATTTTTGGGAAAAAATTCTGTGTTCGACACGATAAGATTTATGACGATAAGCATAATCAAAAAAATCGCATAAATATTTTCCTGCGTATTAGCAACCCCCATAAGGGGGTCGACGGAGAACGTAACCACCCACTTCGATGAGAAGTTGTAAAGAAACACATTACGCAAACATTTTGCATCCTACGGCAACGATACGGACCGTAGGTGCCTCAATATTACGTTTAAACGACGGTCACAGTGTCGCCCAATCTGGCCCAATCAAATCCAATCCCAAATTGGGGGCGCCCAATCAAACCCAATCTGCGAATAATTCGCACGCCAATCGCACAAAGAAGGTAAAAAATGACCACCACAATGGTCACGTGGTACGCAAGCAAACATATTATCACCATTATAGCGAACAATAAAACTTTTTTAAAAAACAACCCTTTTACGCGGGTTTAAGTGTTAATATTATCCGACAGGAGTATATTTTTGGGAAAAAATTCTGTGTTCGACACGATAGGATTTATGACGATAAGCATACTCAAAAAAAAATGCATAAATATTTTCCTGCGTATTAGCAACCCCCATAAGGAGGTCGACGGAGAACGTAACCACCCACTTCGATGCGAAGTCGTAAAGAAACACATTACGCAACCATTTTGCATCCTACGGCAACGATACGGACCGTAGGTGCCTCAATATTACGTTTAAACGACGGTCACAGTGTCGCCCAATCTGGCCCAATCAAATCCAATCCCAAATTGGGGGCGCCCAATCAAATCCAATCTGCGAATAATTCGCACGCCAATCGCACAAAGAAGATAAAAAATGACCACCACAATGGTCACGTGGTGCGCAAGCAAACATATTATCACTATTATAGCGAACAATAAACCTTTTTTAAAAAACAACCCTTTTACGCGGGTTTAAGTGATAATATTATCCGAGAGAAGTATATTTTTGGGAAAAAATTCTGTGTTCGACACGATAACGTTTACAGCGATAAGCATACCAAAAAAAAATTGCATAATATTTTCTACAAATTACCAACCCCAATAAGGGGGTCAACGGAGAACGTAACCACCCACTTCGATGAGAAGTCGTAAAGAAACACATTACGGAACCATTTTGCATCCTACGGCAACGATACGGACCGTAGGTGCCTCAATTTCACGTTTAAACGACGGTCACAGTGTCGCCCAATCTGGCCCAATCAAATCCAATCCCAAATTGGGGGCGCCCAATCAAATCCAATCTGCGAATAATTCGCACGCCAATCGCACAAAGAAGGTAAAAAATGACCACCACAATGGTCACGTGGTGCGCAAGCAAACATATTATCACTATTATAGCGAACAATAAACCTTTTTTAAAAAACAACCCTTTTACGCGGGTTTAAGTGTTAATATTATCCGAGAGAAGTATATTTTTGGGAAAAAATTCTGTGTTCGACACGATAACGTTTACAGCGATAAGCATACCAAAAAAAATTGCATAATATTTTCTACAAATTACCAACCCCAATAAGGGGGTCAACGGAGAACGTAACCACCCACTTCGATGAGAAGACGTAAAGAAACACATTACGCAACCATTTTGCATCCTACGGCAACGATACGGACCGCACGTGCCTCAATATTACGTTTAAACGACGTTCACAGTGTCGCCCAATCTCGCCCAATCTGCGAATAATTCGCACGCCAATCGCACAAAACAGGTAAAAAATGACCTCCACAATGGTCACGTGGTACGCGAGCAAACATATTATCACTATTATAGCGAACAATAAAACTTTTTTAAAAAACAACCCTTTTACGCGGGTTTAAGTGTTAATATTATCCGAGAGAAGTATATTTTTGGGAAAAAATTCTGTGTTCGACACGATAACGTTTACAGCGATAAGCATACCAAAAAAAAATTGCATAATATTTTCTACAAATTACCAACCCCAATAAGGGGGTCAACGGAAAACGTAACCACCCACTTCGATGAGAAGACGTAAAGAAACACATTACGCAACCATTTTGCATCCTACGGCAACGATACGGACCGCACGTGCCTCAATATTACGTTTAAACGACGTTCACAGTGTCGCCCAATCTCGCCCAATCTGCGAATAATTCGCACGCCAATCGCACAAAACAGGTAAAAAATGACCTCCACAATGGTCACGTGGTACGCGAGCAAACATATTATCACTATTATAGCGAACAATAAAACTTTTTTAAAAAACAACCCTTTTACGCGGGTTTAAGTGTTAATATTATCCGAGAGAAGTATATTTTTGGGAAAAAATTCTGTGTTCGACACAATGAAATGTATAACTGTAATCATGATTAAAAAAGTTATATAAATATTTTGTATAAATTAGCAACCCCTGTAAGGGGGTTGACGCTGAACGTAACGACCCACTTTGATAAGAAATCGTAAAGGGACACATAACAATTATTTTTTATTCTACGGGAATGGTCCTGACCAGACTTGGCTCAATATTGCGTTTAAACGACATTCATAGTGTCGCCCAATCAAATACAATCTGCGAATAATCCGCACACCCATCTCACACAGAAGGTACAGAATAACCACCAGGGTGGTAATCTGGTACGCAAGCAAGCATATTATCACCATTTTAACGAATAATAAAACTTTTTTAGAAAACAACCCTGTTACGGGGTTTTAAGGGTTAATACTGCATCACCGGAGTATACTATTGGAAAAAAATTCTGTGTTCGACACAATAAAATGTATAACTATAAACATGAGAAGTTAGATATTTTGTATAAATTAGCAACCCCTGTATGAGGGTTGACGCAGAACGTACTGACTCACTTAATAATAATAATAATAATAATCGTAATTTATTATCCAACAGACAAAGATCTATGTGGATACTTGTACATAACTCCGGATAAGTATACACAAATACATATAACAAAAAAAGAAAGAAATCAATACAAAACAATTATATAACTAAACACTAATCACTAAAAAATTATATAACTCAACATGCAGGAATGTCAACTACGGTGGCGTAAGAACTGCATTTTTACACAGATAAGTGAAATGTTTGATATTCTGTAAAAAGATGTCAGCAAGAGGAGCAATATTATTGTAACTTCTGCACATATTATATAACGGCGAATAGAAATGTTGATTAGTTCTACACCAATCTATTGCAAATGTTCCAGCATATCTACAATTTAAGCGCGGTATGTGAAAACTAAGATTACCAAGCAGATTTTGTGAAAAAATTTTCCCGTGAATCAGCTGATGTAAAAATATAATATTTGCCACCGTTCTTCTATCCTTCAACGAGTATAGATTAAATTCATTGAAAAGAACTACCCTCGAACAAGTTCTTACGGGATATCTTCCAAATTTAACATAAAATAAATGTTTACAAAATTTTCTTTGAATACGCTCTATTGAAGATATATGAATTTTGTAGTATGGATCCCATACGACGGATGAATATTCCAGTTTAGAACGAATAAATGAATAATATAATACAAGCAAAGAATCAACATTGGTAAAACCGACAGTATTTCTTATAATAAACCCTAACATTCTATTAGCATGATCACAAATATGTTGAAAATGGGGTATAAATGACAATTTTGAATCAACCACAACACCAAGGTCTTTAATTTGGAATATTCTATCTATTTCTGTATCGTTTAATTCATACTTAAATTGTGTAGTATCAGGTGATCTAGAAAAGGTTATTACTTTACATTTGGCTACATTAATATTTTGTTTATTATTGTGACACCATATAATAAAATTATTAAGATCATTTTGAAGCGAGTAACAATCATCAAGCGTGGTAATAGTTTTAGCCACCTTCATGTCATCAGCGTACACAAAGATAGGACACTTAAATTCTAAAAGTGCGTCATTGAAGTATATAATAAATAAAATAGGTCCAAGGTTTGACCCTTGCGTTACACCACTCGTAGTTACATAAGTTTGAGAGCGAAAACCACGGTACTCAACATACTGAATGCGATTACACAAAAAGGATTGAAATAACTTTATTAAATTACTACACAGGCCAAATTTGCTCAACTTATCAAGCAAAATCGAGTGATTAACCACATCGAAAGCTTTAGATAAATCTGTGTAAATAACATCAACTTGTTTTTTACTTTCAAGAGAATCAGATATGTATTGGATGTACTCACACAGATTTGTTGAAGTTGACTTTCCTTTTATAAA